GGGATGGGGAAACGCCAGGGGCAGAGCAGCTGGGGTGCTGCCGGGTTGGTCCCGCAGCGCCGCCCCTCACCTGAGTGGCGCTGCAGGACCAACCCGGGAGCACCCCAGCTGTTCTGCCCCCAGCTTCTCCAAGTCCGCTGCTGCTGAAACTGACCAGCGGCGGACTTGGGGAAGCCAGGGGCAGAGCAGCTGGAGTGCTGCACATGCTGCACCATTCCATGCCAACCCACCCTCCCCCCAGACCACTCATAGCCCCCCTTCCGGTACTCGGGCATATCCAATAATCCGGTGCCAGATTATCTGAAGTTTACTGTATAAATTAAGTGTGCTCCAGGCAACTAATAATAAGGTTCACACTTTAGATATAATTTCTGACCATAAAGAGACTGTGGACAATCAAGCTTTGAGCACCAGGACAGAAGTTGTACATTTTAATTCTATATCCAGAGTTCATCATGATGATTCATGTCTTTGAGCTATCTATACTTGACTATTCTATTAGTCTATCAATGTACAATCAATAAGGATTATTGCAATTAGATTCCACTTGTTCCTTGTGATACAATGATGGGAAAAAGCAGCTGTACCCACACTCTAATCACTGGATTACCAGTTAAACTTCCTGAGAGTAAATGTGAGGGGCAAAGTTGTGCCTATCTGATAGACGGAGAGTGAGCTGGAGGATTGGTTTATTAACCTATTAGCCCACTAAGTAGAAAGGCACAAGAAGAAAGTGATCAGGTAGGAAGAGAGATTGGTAGAATTTTCAGAGTCAGAAGAGATCTCTTGGAAGGAAGATGGCTTCTTTACTCCTTGGCCAAATAAGCTAGGGACCATGTGCACAAGTCTGTTTGTCTGGTGGGAAAGAACACAATAAATAAATTGCACCTGGTGTTTGACCAAGAGAAGGCTTCTGAGCAGCTTGTGGGCATAAAAAGGACAAGAGTGATTATGCCTGCTCAGATTCCTGGCACATTTCTTTATTTTAAAAAAACCTACTTTTCATAGTTGATCTGAGGAAGTGGGTCTGGTCCACGAAAGCTCATCATCTAATAAACCATCTTGTTAGTCTTTAAAGTGCTACATAGTCCTGTATTTTCTTTCAGCTACTTTTCATAGTAACTAATGATAAGGTTCACATTTTACGTATAATTTCGGACCATGAAGAGAATGTGGACAATAAAGCTTTGAGCACCAGGCCAGAAGTTGTACATTTTAATTCTATATCTAGATTCATCATGATAATCCATATCTTTGAGCTATCTATGCTTGACTATTATATTAGCCTATCAATGCATAGCCTGGGTAAATATTTTGGCATCATCATCAGCTTTTGCTACTTTCGTTCTATGATCAGCAGAAATCTTGGCCTTCAGACTGAACTAATGGAGTCAGAAAAGCAGCTATGAATATTGCGCTATTACAGAAAAGTGTATGTAAATACAGCAAACTATCAACTAATGTTATCCCTGCTTTATGTTTCAGAAACATGGACTACATATGCTAGGCACGTCAGTAGACTGGACAGCTTCCACATGAGATGCCTGCATACTATTCTGGAAATATAGTAGGGAGATAAAATACCAAACACAGAAGTGCTGGAGTGCACATGACTGACATATTTAGAAACCACTATTAAGAAGAGGAGGTTGTGATGGCTCCCCTGTGACAGGAGAATGAGATTACACCATATCCCCAAGAATAGTTTGTATAGGGAGATTTAAGACAGCTCTAGAAAGTGTGGTCATCACCCTTTATGGCAGTACCATTTTGTGTACAAAAAGTATATGAAGTAATTCAACATCAATGTAGACAGCTGGGAGGAGTGCACAGAAGCCTGTTCAATCTGGAGGGAACATCTGGCATGGGTGCAGCTCATCCACAAAGTGGGTTTGATCCAGAGGATGGAAGAAAAGTGAAAAGGAAGCCATGTGCTGTAATCTTGGACACCAACTCAGACAACACACAAATCTGTGAAACTTGTCACTAGCTGTGTTGCCCTTGAATTAGGCTTGTCAGCCATAAGTGAATTCATCAGGCATCTGATTAAACCTTTTACACCTACACCATAATCCAGTGAATCGATGGTTGCTTCTATATATCTGTGCACTAAGAAAATTAGTTCCTGGTAAAAGAGATAAGGGAAGTAGTAGGGGAAAGGATATAAATGCCAATTCTCAGCTATTTTGTACTTACTTTTAAAATATCCTTAGGTTGTTTGGACCCATTTAGTCTCTTGTCCCCTATCTCATCATACCTTTCTGCCCCAGCAAATACTTTTAAAGTATTTCCTTTTCATAAGGTTTACTTTTGGAATATGGAACAAAGCTTTTACACAGGAAAATAAAATACAAGTGGCTGAAAGGGACACAAACTGCTGCTGAAATGATCTGAGTTATCACAACAGAATATGAGAAGGAAGTGGTTTCTTACGTACACAGGTGTTATATTATTTAATTGTTAGGGTATGACTGGGAATGCTGATTCTCCAAAGCCCAATTTCTAAGTGGCCTATTTGGGTATTATGATGACATCAAGCAATGTGCCAACACTCCAAGCAAATTCCTAGATGCCAATTATGTTGCATTGATAGAGGAATATTGTTTGAAGACACAAATAAAGAAGGACTTCGAAGGGACAGGGAAAAGTAGTGTGAGGACAGTATAAATTAAGCTAGATTTAAGGTGAGAGTTATTGGCTGGTAGGCGTAAGATTGAAAGGATGAATGCAAAGCCTTCTTTGTGGAGGCCTTGCAACAGAAATGTTTTTTCCTGATTTCACCAGAGTACATCTATGATACTCAGTAGGGCAAAACTCAAAACCTTGCTTCCTTTATCGTTTGTGTTGTTTAATTGATTGATTGTTTATAAGCTGTATGTTGGTGTTAGTATGGATTCCATCCCAATCCCCTCGTGAACCTGAAACATATTACATTTTTCACATTATAATGCCATTATTCTGATCTGAGGCGATTGTATCTAAAATCAAATTTTATTACATAAAGTGATTCATCTGCATGTAAATCGGTGTCAAAGAGGATCTGAGCCCTGGTCTACACTAGGGAGTTATTTTGAAATAACAAGCAGTGCATCCACACTACCAAGCCTGTTATTTTGAAATAATAATACATAAGTAATAATCCATAAGTAATTTTGAAATAGTGGTAGTGTGCTGCTAATTCAAAATAACTACTCTCCAGAGTAATTCAGACTAATTACTCCTTAGTGCTTCTTGGGGCTCTAAGTTGAGGTAGTATATCCATATTAATGGAGCCTGCCTCGGACTAGTTTTGAGGAATCCCTGTAGGGCAGACACGCTATTTCAAAATGATTATTTGGGGAGTTATTATTTCAAAATAAGTTATTTCCAACTAATTTCCTAGTGTAGCATGTCCTGAGGTGAAACCCATGAACTTTACACTAACCTATCTGCAAATATAAAATATGAAGTCAGAAAAAATGTGCACTGCCTTTATGAAGCTCAGGAATTTCCAGTTTGATTACAATTGGATTGTCAATATACATTATAATGTATACATGGAAGGATGATGTAAAGATCTTTCAGCCAAGTTAAATTTCAGAATGCTGGACTAAGAATTGTTTTTTTGTAATACAAAAATTTCCTGTTTGGAGTGTTTGCAAATATATTTTTATTTGTACTATGTAGTGTATTGAATGAAACTGTAGAGATTTCTTACATGTCGTTATCATTAAAGTATTTGTCTG